TATAGGGGCTAAGGGGAGATATGGGGTCAGTTATGGGCGCTGTAGGGTCAGTTGTGGGGGCTGGGGGAGAAGTATGGTGTGTGCGAGTAGAACTGTGGGGTCAGGAGGATCAGTTATTGGGGATCCCGATCCTCGTCCTGGTCTTACAGTTCCTAATCCCAATCCCAATTCCATCCTGATCCCAATCCCAGTAACGCTTCTGGTCCAATGAATCTCAATCCCAATCCTGATCCCGATCCCGATCCCAATCCCAATCCCAATCCCAATCCCATTCTGATGAACACTGACCTCGATCCCGATCCCAATCCCAATCCCAATCCCAAACCCGATCCCAGTCCCAAACTGGTGAATCCCAATCCCAATCCGATGGATCCCAATTCCAATCCAGTAGATCTCAGTCCTAACCCCAATCCCAAATCCAATCCTAATCTGGTGGATCCCAATCCCAATCCCCATCTGACAGCTTCCAGTCCCAATCCCAATCTGAAGCTCCTGATCCCAATCCTGGTCCCAGTCTGGTGGATCCCAGCCCCAATCCCAATTCCAACCCTGATCCGATGGCTCCCGATCCCAATCCCAATCCGTTGGATCCCAATCCCAATCCCGGTCCTTATCTGATCTGTTGGATCCAATCTGTTGGATCCCAATCCTAATCCTGGTCCAGTGGGCCCCAGCCCCATTCCTGATCCCAATCCGTTAGATCCCAATCCTTGTCCTGATCCGGTGAATCCCAATCTTGATCCCAATTTGATGGATCCCAATCCCAATCCCGGTCTGATTGATCCCAATACCAGTCCCAGTCCAATAGATCCCAATCCCAATCCCAATCTCCATTCGGTGGATCCTGATCCCGATCCAATAAATCCCAATCCCAATCCGTTGGATTCCAGCCCCAATCCCAATCTTGATCCCAGTCTGATGGATCCCAAACCCAACCCCAGCTCCGGACCAGTGGATCCCAATCCCAACCCCTATTCCGGTGTGTTGGATCCCAATCCCAATCCCAATCCTGTCTGCTGAATCCCGATCCCAATCCCAGCTCCATTGTCAGTCTGTTGGATCCCAATCCTGATTCAAATCCCTGCCCAATAGATCCCCATCCCAATCCGTTGGATCCTGATTCTGATCCCAATCCCAATCCCAATCCCAGTCTGGTGGATCCCAGTCCCATTCCCGGACCATTGGATCCTGATCCTAATCCCAATCCCAGTCTGAAGGATCCCAATCCCAATCACTTGGATCCCAATTCTGATCCCAATCCCAATCCCTGTCCGGTGGATCCCGATTGCAATCCCAGTTCGATAGATCCCAATCCCAATCTGTTGGATCCCGATTCTGATCCTAATCCCAATCCCAATCCTGGTCCAATTAATCTCAATCCCATTCCTTTGGATCCTGATCCCAATCCCAATCCCAGTCTGTTGGATCCCAATTCCAATCCCAACCCGCTGGATCCCAATCTGTTGGATCCTGATTCCGGTCCCAATCCCAATCTCAGTCCATTGAATCCCAATCCCAATCCCAATCCCGGTCTGTTGGATCCTAATCCCAATGCCAATCCCAGTCAGATAGATCCCAATCCCAATCTGTTGGATCCTGATTCTGATCCCAATCCCGATCCCAATCCCGCTCCCGGTCTGTTGGATCCTAATCCCAAACTCCAATCCTGGTCCATTGGATCCTGATCCCAGTCCTGGTCTCATTCCCAACCCCAATCCCGATCCGTTGGGTCTTGATCCCAATCCCAATCCTGATCCAAGTCCATTGGATCCTGATCCCAATCCCAATCCCAATCCCAATCCTGATCCCAGTCCATTGGATCTCAATTCCAATCCCAATCCTGGTCCATTGGATCCTGATCCTAATCCAGGTCTGTTGGATCCCAATCTGGGTCCGTTAGATCCCAATCCTGATCCCAATCCTGACCCTGGTCTGATGGATCCCAATCCCAATTGCAATCCTGACCCTGGTCTGTCGAATCTCAATCCCAATCCCAGTCCATTGGATCCCAATCCCGATCTCAATCCTGATCCAGGTCCATTGGATCCCACTCCCAATCCTGATCCCAGTCCATTGGATCTCAATTCCAATCCCAGTCCCGGTCCATTGGATCCCAATCCCGATCCCAATCCAGGGCTGTTGGATTCTAATCCCAATCCCGATCCCAATCCTGGTCTGTTGAATCCCAATCCCAATCCCAGTCCCATTCCCAATTTGTTGAATCCCAATCCTAATCCCGACCCCGGTCAGTTGGATCCCAATCCCAATCCCGGTCAATTGGGTCCCGATCCCAATCCCAATCCTGGACCTTTGGATTCCAATCCCGATCCCAATCCTTTGGATCCCAATCCTAATCCTGGTCCTGGTCCAGTGGATCCCAATCCCAATCCCTATCTGGGTCCGTTGGATCCCAATCCCAATCCTGATCCCAATCCCGATCCAGGTCCCAATCCCGGTCCCGGTCCGTTGGATCCCAATCCTGATCCCAATCCTGATCCCGGTCCATTGGATCCCAATCCCAATCCAGGTCTGTTGGATCCCAATTCCAATTCCAATCCCAATCCAGATCCATTGGATCCTAATCTCGATCCCAATCCCAATCCCGGTCCATTGGATTCCAATCCCGATCCTGATTGCGATCCCGATCCATTGGATCGCAGTCCCGATCCCAGTCCATTGGATCCCAATCCCGATCCCAGTCCCGATCCGGGTCCGTCGGATCCTAATCCCGATCCCAATCCCAATCCTGATCCCGGTCTGTTGGATCCTGATCCCAATCCCAATCCAGGTCCATTGGATCCCAATCCTGATCCCAATCCCAATCCAGGTCCATTGGATCCCAATCCCAATCCCAATCCTGATCCAGGACCGTTGGATCCTAATCCTGATCCCAATCCCGATCCCAAACTCGGTCCATTGGATCCCAATCCCAATCCTAATCCCGGTCCCGGTCCCGGTCCATTAGATCCCAATCCCGATCCCAATCCTGATTCGGGTCCCTTGGATTCCAATCCCAATCCCAATCCCAATCCTGATCCGGGTCCGTTGGATCCCAATCCCTATCCCAATCCCGGTCTGTTGGGTCTTGATCCCAATCCCAATCCTGATGCAAATCCATCGGATCCCAATTCCGATCCCAATCCCGTTCCCGATCCCGGTCCATTGGATTCCAATCCCGATCCCAATCCCGATCCCGGTCCATTGGATCCCAATCCTGATCCCCATCCCGATCCCGGTCCATTGGATCCCAATCCCGATCCCGATCCCGATCCGTGTCCGTTGGATCCCGATCCCTATCCCAATCCCGGTCTGTTGGGTCTTGATCCCAATCCCAATCCTGATCCAAATCCATCGGATCCCAATCTCGATCCCGGTCCATTGGATCCCGATCCCAATCCCAATCCCGGTCCGTTGGATCCCAATCCCGATCCCAATCCCGGTCTGTCAGATCCCAATCCCGATCCCAATCCCGGTCCATCGGATCCCCATCCCGATCCCCATCCCGATCCCAATCCCGATCCCCATCCCGATCCCAATCCCGATCCCGATCCCGATCCCAGTCCGTCGGATCCCCATCCTGGTCCCGATCCCGATCCCGATCCCAATCCCGATCCCGGTCCGTCGGATCCCAATCCCGATCCCGATCCCGATCCCGATCCCGATGCCGGTCCATCAGATCCCCATCCCGATCCCGATCCCGGTCCCGGTCCGTCGGATCCCCATCCCGATCCCGATCCCGATCCCAATCCCGATCCCGGTCCGTCGGATCCCCATCCCGATCCCAATCCCGATCCCGATCCCGATCCCGGTCCGTTGGATCCCGCTCCGGTTCCGCTCCGTTTCCCACCTGC